CTATTTCGCTTGAAATGCATGCAGCCGATAGCGAGACCTTAAGCCAATCCAATAAAGCACGATGCCGCGTTTGCTTTCCCTGAAACGCTGCCTGGAAAGCTTTGCAGCCCAGCCTATCTCGTCAATCAGCCGTTGTCAGAAACAGGCGAGATGAGCGCCCCCATGTCATATTCCGAACCATGGGGTTGATCTCGACGAATCATGGAGCGTGCACCCGCGCACCATGCGACATCATTCCAAGGTATGCTGCACTTACCACTGAAGCTGCCGGCGCGAGATGACGCTTTGCGCAATTATCGCTTCTCTGCTCCTGCAGGAGCGCGAACGGCGCTGTAGCATCACGTATGCCAGCGTCACGATGTTTTCTACAGTCTCTGCAATCCAAGTCAGTCCATGATGCACTCGGCCCACTAGCGCAGGTCGGCCTCGCAGTGACGATCGCCCACCCATTTCTTCTGGCTCGCTTTTTCCAATCCTGCACATGAGCCCCTGCTACCCGACTGCACGCCGGTTTGGGGGTGCTGTTGAGTTCTCGGGAGTTACAGATAGAGAAAAAAACAAGTAAATCGACCTACTAATGAGCAGACCTGAACCCATCTTCCGCACTTTGAATAGCACGCGTGCATATTCAAGGCACCTCACCGCCGCTTCATAGAAGCTTTGATATACATTCGCTAGCACGGTTGCCACGCTGTTCAACGATGAATCGATAAGCATGGCTTTGAGCTGGATCTTGAATGCGCTACCAATGTGTCAGCGCAATGTCGGGCTTTTCCATGCATTTTCTAGTCCGATTGGCTGGCAGAGGGAAAACAGGTATGGGGCCCCATCAAGGAACTCACTTGAGAGCTTTGCGATGAAAAGTCTGGCCCGGCATTTTTGCCAGATCCACCGTCAAAGAATCCTCAACAACTGTTTTACTTAGCAATCTGCACTTTCGACCCACCTGTCGGCCAATACTACTTACCGGCTTTTGGTGGCCGCTCGGTCTTCTTGCTGATCTCGAGAGTCGTAGTGTCAATGCAGGTGCCGCAGTAAGGGAATTTCCCACCTGGCCCAGTTGTAGCAATTCGTTCACCGTTAGCTATAGTCACATTGAAGTTGGTCAAGGATTTTGCAGTCTGCACCACGACACCATATTCGGGGTGGCCTTGATGCATGACTTGCACGAAGCGTTTAGCGTGCTCTTCGGTGATGGTAATCAAAAGAAAATCGTCAAGCAGACGGAGTAAGAGACAATCGTCACCAAGCGCAAAGTCAAGAATGTCTCGCTCAAGCTCAGCGTAGAAGAAGTTACACAGAATGCTCGACAAGACAGAACCCTGAGGGATTCCCGTCTTTTGGCGGTAGAATCGCTTTCCAATCCGAACTACATTCCGCTCGATATGCTCCCGCAAGAGATACATCAAATCATCTTTTGTCTCGCAGCGTTGCATGTTCATGTTCGCAAAGACGGTATTCGCCTTGGTCCCCACGAACCTGTCCCGCACGAGCTGATGGAAAGGCGTCACGTCGGTTGCTGCATGGCTGTATGCAACATAGCGCTTGCGGGGCATGGGGTTCACATGGTTGCCATTGAGGCGCTGCAGAGGACCCAGGGCAGACATCTCGACGTGCTTGCTTGTATAGTATTCCTGTGTCGACATGAGGCTCTCAACCATGCTCAACAGACGTGATTGAGGTATGCTGTCAAAACAAGCCTGCACATCGACCTTGGCGAAATAGAACGGTTTGTGGTCAAGGCCCCGCTGTTTAATTGAGTTCCTGAATGCTGTTAATTTTGGCAGCATATCCCCAACAGAGAATAGCGAGCAGCCAAACTTATCGGGTTGTAACGACTACAATATGGTTAAGCACGGTCAATTCGGCACGGACAGTATACTGACCTTTTCATAATTTATGGCGTTGAAGGCGGGTGTCATGACTGTGTTGATGCTTCGCCCAAGCGCCATGGCTCCATGGCGCAACACCTGTTGTCGCCGTCTGAGGTTCATGATAGTCCGGAAGCCCTGCTTTTTGGGAAGCAAGCGTATGTCACTAAAACCGAGCTGACGTGCGGATAGTAGCTTTGTTGCTCTGTCTTTTGGCAGCTCTTCAAACATGTTCAGGCGCAGTGTCCTCAGAGCAGGTTCGGCAAGCATACGCCAGATGTCATGGCGAAAGTAGAAGAGCCGATTACGATGGGTGTTTGATTCCGTCACATGGAAGTTGGTTCGGATCAAGGGGATTAGGAAGGAGTCAAACACCCAGTAGACAAATTCTAGAAATATTTCTGTACGTTTGTCCAGATCCGACTTTGAGAGCTTGCAGCCCTTGTCTTGACCTGGTGGGCAAAGCCATGAAATGGTAGTAATCTGCGTTGGCTTAGTAAACACCCCGAAAGAGGGGCTGAAAAGACGTACATGTATCTTCTGTGTGACTTGATGCAAGGTAAGCGACTCAAACCTCCGCAAAGCTACAAACTGGTCTATCCAGTACATGACGATATGCTCATTATGACCATCACCCCATGCATCTTTCGGTATGACTTTGGATATGACCCTACGGCAAAAGGCCGAAACATGTGCCTCAGGACAAGCCATGTCGAGGACACAGTTTTGCTGCGTTGAGCTAGATTCAGACATGGGAGAATGGGTCCGGCCACCCTGGGCCAGTTGTGTGGCTGCTGTTCCATTTGCTTTGGGGTGGGCCACGCTCTTCTTCGATTCAGGTTGTGTAGATAACGGCATGCCCTATTGAAGTCAGTGAAGGCTGTGATCCAAGAGAATGGCAAGAATCACCTCAACGGGACAATAGTGGCGAAGTAGCTCCGTGTACGAACAGCGTTGGTTTAAAATTCGGAGTTTTTCAATCAGCTTTACTACATTGCCACGAAGTCTCCTGGGGACGTGCAGCTTCCACTGGGCCACTTGGTCGGCATCAGTTGCCTTGTCGCCTAGTTGGCGGCACATGCTGGTATGAATATCTTTCTCACGCAGTGTGTAGTCTTTGAAAGGCATGGCACTTTCACGAGCATCTACCTTTGAAGTGAAGACATTGTGCAAGCCAAATTGACGAGGAAAGATGTAACGCATAATGTGAACTGTCTGCTGCTTGTCGGCTCGGTCAGGGTACCGATTTAAGACGTCTACAAATCATGTCAGGAGGTGCAAATTGATGAGACAGGGAACGCACGTATATGGCGCAGGCCGAATCTGACGCCCCCGTTTGCATTCAGGGCGGCCTTTGCATACAACATGCGACTACGGACAAATGTAATTGACCCAGGCGTTCTGTCCTCGCTTTGGAGATATAGTGACTTTGCAATTGGCTGGGTATTTGTATTAGTGTTTCCTGGACCATTGCTCACGACACTGTCACGTTGCACTTCAGACAGGGGCATGCCTGAGAGCTGGTAGTAGTTTCCCATGTTAGCTTCGACGGGAAGAAAGATGGCGCAGTCTAAAAGTAGGTCCATCATGATACGATCGCCGCTTTGCCCTAAGAGGGCGTGTAATCGGCACCACACAGGGTCCTTTAGAGTTTGCACATGGCTATTGTCGTGGACTTGCTGCAGGCCAGGGATGGAGGCTCTCGTATTTGGGTCATGGTGCTGTTCACTGCGGGCTCTTGCAGCCCTTTGGAAGCCGTGGCAGAGCACATGGGCAGGCCTGTAAGAGGAAGAGCGGGTAAACAGGCGCCAAATCACATAGTCAACAATCTACATGTACTCAGTAGCGGCTCATGGAGATGCAGCGCAGACGGGCAGCACGGGAAAGGCCAGGCACGTGACGCGACATACCTCGGGCTGCTTGTAGTAGCCAGGCTTGTAAGTGGCCCCTGGGGTACTTTGTAAGCGCTGCTGGGTGAATGTCTGTAGATCTTGGTCACGTTCCTTGGCAGCAAGCGCGTGTTCTTGTGCGGTTACGTGTGCTGCACAGCCGACCAAGGCCGAGTCGAGCAGCTGCGCCATGGTGTAATCGACATGTTGCACAGGGCTGGTGTCTGAAGCTTGAGCCGGAGCCGGAGGGGCACGTCCAAGCAGGGCTATTCTCCGGTGTCTATTCTTGGACGACGGGGGCAGCCTTGACAGCAGATAGTGGCGCAGGGTAGAGAGTTGGGGATAGAGACGGTGCAGGACTGGATGGGGGTGATGATGGAGGAGGGGAGGTGTGGCATTGGGGGATTGGTCGGCAGCGGCCAATTGTTTGCTGGACACCCCCACGGGGGCGGTGCGGGCAGCGTCATGATTGCCGCGCTTCCTCTTCATGGTGGGCGTGGTGTTTTGGACGACAGGGCGGTCAAGTGAATGGGTGGATAGATGGATGGGGACATACAGCAGACAGATGGTGGCCGAGTCGTGTGGTTGTTGCTTGGCCGGGCAGGGGTGGTGGGGCGTGAAGCTACGGGGACGCTAGAGACGCGACGGGACGCGCCATGCCAGGGGAGAGCAGGTGGTGGATGGCTGGAGTTTGTGTTCCGTCATGGCACTCGCTCTCTCTCGGTTTCACGCTGGTTGCAGATGGCGAGCGCTGGTGGGCGGACTGGAGGGTGCCATCTGTGCCATGAGCCCCTAGGGGTGCAGCAGGCACACATGCACTTGTACATAGATAGATAGACACATGGTACGTAACGAGATACAATCAATAGGTGCACACGGAGGACGGTACTCGCTAGCATAGCCTGCTCGCCCAACTGGCGCCTGGAGCTACTGGCTGGGAAGCGAGATGTGGGAATAGTATGTAGAGTAGTGGAAATGGTGGTAGTGGTGGTAGCGGCTGCAGCAGAGGAGGACAAGGACAAGGAGGACGAGGCATAGGGAACAGGCGGGCGGACAGCCAGACAGTAATGCATGCACATGAGGAACACTGGGCGTATCTGATGCTCCAAGCCCACGCCCCGTCGCTGTCAGTCTACACCTGTCTGCGCCTGTCTGCACCTGTCTACGCCCGTCTGCAGCTGTCTCCAGGCCGTCTCCAAGCCGTGTGTCCCCCCCTGCGGCACCGTTGTTGTCCCGTTTCCTAGCTCGATCCTGGGGGGCTGCTCCAGGCACCTCGACTGCATTCCTTCACTGCCCCCAGTGGCAGCGCTATCGCCCGGCAACACTCCCCCCCAAGCGCACCACCACAACCACCGACCACATCCACGACCACGACCCCCCCCAAAGCACCCGCTCTCACGCCCTCTGCGCCGGTGTGACGCTCAACCGTGCAGGCCCGGGCGACGGCAGGCGTGTGTCCGCCGCGATTGGCTGTGCCCCTCGCCTCTCCCCCAGTCCAATAGACGGCTGGCGCTGGCTGCGCTGGCACCCCCGGCTGCTGCTCTGCCCTGCGCTGCTCTGCGCTGCTCCGCTGCTCTGCCCGACACTGGACCGCCTCTCCCCACGACGACGGCGCTGCCTTGCCTCTGCGCTCCTGCGCCCGCCAGCAATGGGAGATGGAGTCTGATCAGGCGCATGGATATGCATACGACCCCGGCCTCTCCGTATCGACCTGGCTGCAATCCACCGAACTACACCCCCCCGAAGATGCTCTGGCCGCCTCGCCAGACAAGTACTATTCGGCCTACACCTCCACCTCAACCGAGCTCCAAGCTCCTGCCTCACCGCAACACAGCCTAGACATGCCCACCGCGCGCCCCCGACACTCCAATGCCAACGCCGCCAAAAACACTCCCGCCTCTACCACTGTCTCGCCCGCTTCCGCCTCGGCCACCCGCTCCCCCCCAAACCAGTCAAACAAAGTAAAAGCACTTGCTGAGCGCTTTGAGCGCTCCCCCGACGCTACCTCGCCCACGGCCTCGTCCACGCTGCGCTCCAGGTCCCGCGATCCCTCCAGGGCTGTTTCGTACGACGTCCACCGCCGTGCCAATGCCTCGGTCTCGTCCACCGCGTCGGCCGCGCGCCCCAGCAGAGAGGCCTCGTATGGCCCCCACAAGTTCAGCAATTTGAAGCCCAGGGAAAGACCCCAACCTGCTCCTGCGACCCCTCGGAATACGCGCCGCACAAATGGCATAAAGGCCAGCATCGACCAGCATGCCTCGTCGTCAAAAACAAAATCAGCTTCACAAAGTCGCCCGTCGACATCTGGTCAACGGCAGCTGTTTGGCGAAGTACTGACTGGCCAGGATGTGTCATCGCCTGGCTTCGGAATTCCCACCGTCGACGGCACGTTGGGAGAGGCTCTATTGCCTTCAACGTCCCACCACACTTCCCGCCATGGACGCTCGGCTAGTGGCCCGACTGCAGTATCGCTGCAAGACTCGCAACGCACACAGTCTCACGATCAAACAAAGTCGCGATCACCCGCGCGGCACACTCCACGCTCACGAATCCCCGTAGCCACACGACGAATGAGCATTGGCTCAGACTCCAATTCCTCGACCCGCTCCGTAAAATACACTCCCACACGCGCAATGAGCCACAGCAATAGGACATCCCCCACAAGAATGGAAAGGGTACTAGCCGCTGCCGCTGCCACCCCAACCTCACGTGGTGCAGACCAATCAACGCTGCCCGCTCTAGCCTACCGCGGATATCGTGAAAGAGGAAAATCGCCTCTAGGTGTGAGGCCTGGACCAAGCGTAGCCGCTGTTGTCACCGCCCCGCCTCCACCAACATCGCCTCGGCTGCGGAACTCGCGAGAACGACAGCCTCTCCAGCCTTCGCCTGCCTCCCGCTCCCGAAGCTCCGACCGACAGGACGAACACGGATACTTTCCAATTGCAAGCAGCTTCCAACTCCAACCGGAGCCGTCAGAGGGACTCCCCGGCGTGGCTGAACTTGAGCAATCTTTCGAGGCACATGCCCAGGCGAAGCGTCCCTCGCACGACCAAGACTCATGTCCACCGGACCAACAACACTTGAGCCTCCAGACTTCTACCTTGACCGTACCCCCGCCCAACCAACCGCAATCGGCAGTGACCGATTTCGAGGAATCGCCTGTGCTGGGACTACCCGGGAGTTTCGTCCTTACGCCACCGACAGCCCGTCAGAATTCGGACGAGCAGCTCTTACAACCCAACGTCTTCCATGCCTCTGCCCAGAACAGCGTCTCTCACACACCCGACATTGAACAGTCAGAGCTAGGCGTCAGGGAATCAATACCAATCATGCTCAGCGATGAGCAGTCCACAAAACCTTGGGAGTCCGACACCGACACCTTTAACGAAGGCCTCAAGGCTCTATCGTTTGACTTCAAGTCGGATCATGGCTACGATGCAAACGAGGCTCTATCCGCATCCTATCCGAAGCGTGACACACTTTATCCGGATGATTCGGCTAGCGTAGCGGCTCACCGAAAACGTGTGTCTCTTACACCAAACACAGAAACATATAGTGTGGTGAACTCAGTCTTGAACATGTACCATCAGTCACCCGTCATCTCGCCAGAAATGGCGTCCGTGTCACGGGAACGAGTACACCAAGTCTCCCCTGTCATAGCACAGCACAAGGATTGGGGGTCCAAAGAGGCTACCGAGACATACCTTGCACGATTGCTAAGTGACGCAAATGGGTCAGCACGCGACACTACCAAGCTTGAGATAAGTAACACAACATCACCGCCACGTCCATCGAGAACCCCACCACAAATTCCCCAGCAGTTGCCAGATGCTGCCCCTAGTGGCACTGCCATAATATATCCCTCATCGTCGCGACGTTATTCAGGCGCATCAACAACCACTACCATTCAGGAAGATGCATCCCACTCTGGCAGTTCTTCCGGAAACCGTTCTCGCAACGCATTGTCACAGAGTTCCTCCAACGATCGTCCATCGGCTTCCACTAATGGCCTTGAACTACCGCAGCTTGCCTGGACCGATGGTGGCCTTGGATTAGACTTGCAGCATTCTATGCCGCATTCGCCCTTGAACGCACCACCCCGGCCCAACTATTCACCCCCACCTCCCCCCGTTCAGCCGTCCATTGACGGACAAGTAGCTTCGCAAAACGCCTCGTACAATCATCTGTCACACCACCAACTCTCTCGACCCACACTCAGCGACGAGCAATTCGAGATGCACCCCGCTCGGTCGCGTACACCAGTCATTCATATTCATGAGAAGAGTCTAGAAGATCGATATGGCACTCCACAACCTATGGAGACATCTGTGCCAACGCCGACCGAAGGTGAAAAGGGGGAAGATGGCCAGCCTGATCCGGTGAAGCAGGCGCTGATCAAGCGGTATCGTACACTGGAAGAGTTGCTCACCACTGAGCATCAATTCTGCATTGATATGATGATCGCACACAACATCTTTGAAGCTACTGCACAGAACTTAATGAGCGAAAAGGAGAAGAGGCTCTTGTTTAGCAACTGCAAAGAGCTCGAAAAGTTTTCCTTGTCGTTGTTCCGGGCATTCAAGAAAGCCGCGAAGCCGATTGTCAACTACGAAATACCGCCTCCAACCGGCCCCTGGAACCGCGATTCTACTGACAGTAAACCGAGTGACGCCCAAGATTCATCAGCGAGTACCCAAAGACCGTCAGAGGACTCTGTGAACCAATTCGAGAACTGTACGCTGGAGAACGATCGCTTGACAACAATCGGCCAGGTATTCCTTGACAACAAAGAAAAGATGGAAAGACTCTACACAACTTACTTCTTGAACCAAGACAATGCAAGTGCATACATCAAGAAAAATCAAGGAAATGAGATTCTATCCGGATGGGTCACTGCTTGCTTTGAGCAAGTGGAGAATATGACCCAAGCATGGGATCTGGATTCTCTTCTGCTGAAGCCATGTCAACGTCTGCTCAAGTACCCGCTGATTCTCCAATCGCTGCAAGAGATTACCGACCCAGACCACCCGGATCTACCTAAGATCCGGGAGGCCTATGAAGAACTCAAGGCAATGAGCCAACGCATCAATGAGGCCAAGGCACGTTCTGATACCTTCCGCGCTGCCGCTTCTGAGGGCAAGAAAGAGAAGAAGAGTGGTTTGGGCAAGACGTTTGTCAAAGCATTTATTCCCAAGGTGGACAAGAGCAAAGCATACGATGAGGCAGACAAGACATTCAAGGACCAAGATTACAAATCCAAGGAGCAGAAGTTTGGCGGTCATTTCTTCCAACTTCAGATTGTCATTCGCGACTTTGAACAGTACCTCGAAGCCATTACTGAGCACTATCTGCAGCTCAACATTGTCTTCCTGGGCTTCATCACCGTTTGCGAAGTGGCGCCATCAGTATATCCTGAAATTGAGAGCACATGGCGAAAGTGGGCAATGGCCCATTTCGAGCTGCAGAACAAGGCTCTCGAAGAGCATGTAAGTTGTCACATATTCTACTGTTTTTGGGTAAAGCTAATCGTGCATTAGAAAGCTGCTGTTCGCAGTCGCGTGCTGAAGCCGGTTGGAGATCTCTGGGAGATGTGGGTATCGTATCAGAAGACGATAGAGCAGCGCAAGAAGTACCTGTTGTACTATGTCAAGCACAAGCAGGCCATTGATCGCGGTGAGAAAGTGGATCCTGACCTAGAAGAGTCGGCAAAGAAGTTCTCTACGATCAACGACACACTCAAGCACGAGCTGCCTTTGCTTTACGAGAGAACAAAAGGTCTTATGCGTACGCTCATGACACTGTTCATGTGCTTGCAAAAGGATTGGTACAAGACTTGCTCAAAGAAGATTCTTCCTCTACTCGAAAGCGAACCGCAACACACAACATCGCTTCGTTACGATCTCGAGTCATATGTCGAGCGCTTCCACTCCGATTATAAGCCGATGCAAGAACTTGCCAACAAACTTGGCATTGTCAACCGAAATCTGCTCATCGACATCTCGAACATGACCTCGCCTGTGCCCACATTCTCCTCGGATGGTGGCGGCTCGTCCCGTAACTCTTCTTCTCGTCGCACCGAATCAATGAGTAGTGACACATCCTTGATCGACTCACGAAACCGCAACAGCGGCGGTTATGCTCCACGGTCACATCCCCGTCCCATTGAGAATCCGCCCCGTTCTTCTCCTGCAGGACCTGCTTACCCCTCGCTGCACCCGCCTAACGGAGCAAGTCGGACAGGTCCTGGACCTACGTCGCTGCGCGAGGCACGAGCACTCAGTCCTTCCTCAGACAACAGCGATACCACCGTCATGCATAGCGAGCGCCGTAATACTGGACCTTCTCGCGGCAACCACAATTACATGGGTCTTGACGGTGCTATCGATGTTGAGCACTCACCCTCGGTATCTCATGCATTCGACTTTCCACCTCAACTCGGGCCTTCCTTCCTCTCACCTCTGCAGACCAGCACACATACCGTATCAGCACCGCCTTCGCAGCCAACATCTCTCGCTGGATCTACTCGCGCGTCTGGAGTGTTCAACTCTGCGCTGCCAATGTCCGATTCCCCTGCCCGAGGCAGCGTCGAAGAACTACCCACTACTCCTGCCGAGGCAGAAGAGCCCGAAGTGCTCTTCTTGGCTGCCAGTCTGTTCGAATTCAACATTGCCCACGATCGTCGTGAAGGTGGGATACCGTATCTTGTCTATGTCCCCGGCGAGATTTTCGATGTTATTGGCATGAAGGGTGAGCTGTGGCTTGCTCGTAATCAAGACGATGCGACCAAGACTGTGGGATGGATTTGGGAAAAGCATTTTGCTCGCATTCTACCTGAAGATGCATAGTTGATGGCCTTTTGGGGTGTTGAGCCCTTCTTTCTGAGATGGAAAAGGGTATTCCTAATTTTGGGTCGTATGCGCGGTGGGTTGGGGAGAAGGGGCGTTCTTGTGAAAGATCGAGGAGGGCTTGCTGAACAGGCGTCAGTCTCTTTTTTTCTTGCTTTGACGCTTGTGTCTGTCTTCCCCCTCCCTTGTCGTTTTTCTCTTCTTCTTTATGTGATTCCCCCAATCTTTTTTTTGCTTGTCGATCTCCACCGAATCCAAAACCAAAGAGTTTTTTTTTGTTCTCAAAAACCTCCTTCGAAACGCGACGAGGGATTCTAGGGTCTGGCGTACGGGAATTTGGGGGGTTGGGGCAACTTCTACCATTCCAAGCCGAATGGAGCATTGCTGGCGTCTCTTCTTTTTTTTTCACTCCTCTTTTGTCACCCTCCCGCCTCAAACACTTCCTTGTATGTATTTACGAGAAGATGATTTTTTCCCCTCCTCTTTCTTTTTTTTTAAAGGTTCTCCCCTTACCTCTTTTTTTGAGAGAGAGAAAGAGATAAAGAGAAAGATGTCGACCCTACACACGGCCTATCTTTTTCTTTTTTGAGTTGCGTTCTTTTTGGAACGTGCGAAAGGGGTCCGTCTTTTTTTTTCTTTCTACTCTCTCTCCCTCTTTCTAATATTTCCTTTTTTTCAGCTTTTCGAGGGGCAAATATCGTGGGGGTTCGTTTTTTTTGCTTTTGTTGTCTTTGCTGCGCCAATACCTTCGTCGCACAAGTGTATAAATATCAATCAAAAGACTCATGATGCATTTTGGCTCTGAATGAAAAAAGGATTTGCTTAACCATCTATTGACCCGGGGTGTTTTTTTTCTTTCTTCTCTGCATCTTTTATAGGAAAATGTTTTTTTTTGCGAGAGCGATGTGGTTTGGTATAGCCATGATCTAAGTTCAAGTCTAGCTAGCATAATATGTCATAAAAAGCTCTACTCTTCCATTTCCGATCCACTCTCGCTGTCTCCATCTTCGCTTCCAGAACCGTCTTCGTCTTCGTCTTCGTCATCCTCGTCCTCGTCCTCATCACCCTCCAGACCATACGCATCTTGGAAGTCGGTAAGCTGCTTGAGCTGAATCTTGAATCCCGCATCTTCGAAATCCTTCTTCAGACCCTGATGTAGAAAGCAAAAAAGTTAGACACATGTTCTTTGTGGAATGAAACGAAGGGGAAAAAAAAAGAGAGTTTTACTCACATCGGTCATGATGCCACCACACGTCACCACCAAATCCGTCTTCTGAGGCTCAAACACCTTGGCCACGACTTCTTGCAGAATCTTCTGCACATCACCCTCTGTCACCTTGCGCACCTCGCGCAGTGCCCACTCCTGCCAGTCCTTGCCCACGCCTCTCGTCACGAGATCAATAAACGAGCTACGCGCCGCATCCACAATTGTCGCCCGTTCATCGACAAAGTCGCGAACGATGCTCGAAATGGCACCTTCAAGCTCGAGCTGATTCAGTTTCTGCGTGCCATCACCGTACTCTTTGACTACCGTCTTTGCCTTGTTGTACGCGGCGAACACGTTTGGCGACTTGGAGATGCGGAACTTGAGTAGGCCTGTCTCTGGGTCGCGGAAGAAGTTGCTGCCGTAGGCGAGACCCGTGCCGCGGATGGATTGCCACATGGGGCCTTCGACTGCGTCGAGGTATGCAAGGGCGACCATCAAGGGAGGAAGTTGGGGGTTCGTGTAGCCCTGGGGACCCTTGGATGTCAAAACGGCAAAGGACGAGTCAATGGGCATGGGGATGATGTAGTGGGTGCCGCCTGGGTTGCGTCCGACATCTGAGAGGAGGGCGTTCCTATCGTCGATTGGGTTGATGGTGGGTTCTGGTCCTGGCTGGAATGCGTCGGTGAGGTGCTTGAATGTTGAGACTGGGTTTGGTAGCGTCTCGACGTTTGCGGTTACCAGAATGCGCATGTTGGAGAAAGTCAGTAGGTGCTTGCGCAGAGCTTCGAGTTTATCGAGAACCTGTTGTGGTTCCGTTTTTAGGAGCTTCAGAATACGCTTGAGATATAGTCCCTTGACGAGTGTACCAGTTGCGCGGACAGCTGATGCTGCATCGTAGTGAATCATGCGGTCGACTGCAAAGCTCATGGCATTGCCGTCACGCTTCTCTTCAGGCACGTCAGCCAGCATCTTCTTCACGGCAGAGATGACACGCTCAGTGTCGAAGATGGAGTCCACCAACATGGACCTCAGCCATAGTACGACTGTCTCGAATTTATCGGCTTCCGCGACGAAAGGAATGTAGATCATCTCGGAGCTTCCAATGTCTGTACCACGATCCATCGAGTACTCAATGGTATCCTGCTCCAGCTTGGTGATGACTTCTTCGAATTCTATGCGCTTCCCGTCCTTCATGATGGGAGTGGCGAAGAAGTTGGTAAGGTAGACTCCAAGAAGAGGCTTCAGTTCAGTCGGTAGGCTGGCAGTACCCAGTGCCAAACCAAAGTGTACAAAAGATGTCGGTATGTGCTCAAAGTGGATGAACAGAGGAATACCGTTCTCATCCTTGTCCACAATCTTCTGGATTGGATTGTCTGAGACACCGAGCTTCTTTGCCAATCCAGACCGTGCTGTGGTGGTTTGGAAGAAGTGAATGGACTCGGTGCTTGGAACCTTTACGCCTGCAATTATCTCTTCTGGAATAGGCCTGTCGTTTTCTTCCTGTGCCTCCTTGAGCTTTTGTGTCAATTTCTTCAGACCCTCTTCGCCTAGCTTTTCCTGCTGTGCTTTAACACGAGCAACCTCGTCGGCCTTGATCTTGTCGGACAGAGCTTTTGAGGGCTTGCCAAGGATGGAGACATGGTGAGCATTCACCATCCACTTGTTCAGATAGGCTCGCCACTCCTCTTCTGTCCACATGTCTAGTATATCAAAAACATCGAGAGTAGCCATTGCATCTTCAAGATGAGTGCCTTCTCGATCGCCGAAGACGTGGTCCTTGATAATCGGGTCTTTGTATTCATCCAGGCCAATCTCCGACATGTACCGTGTTTGCCTTTTGAAGCGGTGAAGGCAGTCTTTCAGATAGTTCATATCAAGTGGTTTGGAAGCATGTTCCTTGAGAACTTCAAAGAAGCGCTTCTCGACGTCGGCGAGCTTACCGGTCTCCACCGATGAGATCGTCCACCAGATGATCATATCATAGTGGCCTTTGCACCAGAAGTAAACCATGCTAGCTAGATGCTCCTTCTCGACAAGCGTGTTGACAAGGACAGACACAGATGAGCCAGCAAGGTAGTTCAGAAGGGTGTTGATAGCTGTTTCTCCCAGATCGTCAGTAGTCTCTGGGCCCAGGAACGCGATCTGAATCTCTCCTGTGGACTCATCCTCTTCCGGGAATTCTACCGTGTCAACAATGGTTTTGCTGAGTGGAGGAGTACGCGGCGATTCCACCCATGGGCGCTTGAATGGGGCATCGTAAGCCGGCACGTGGTCGATGATATCATCTTCGAAAGTATCAAGAACTTGCAAAAGGTTTGGGTGGTCAACCTCTCCTATGATGATGACACGCAAGTTCTTGGGTTGGTACATGTCTCGATGGAATTGGCGTATCCGTTCTGCGGTTGAGACCCTAAGATTCTCCATCAAGCCACCAGTCTCCATTCGGAAACCGTCCCCTTCAGGGTACAGGAGGCGACGCATTTGAAGGTCCATGAGGTCACCCTGCAAGTTCTGTCGCCCTTGCATCTCAGAGTAGACAACACTTACGATGTTTTAGTAATTTTGTGCTTGATTTGTCAAGGAAACTTACCCCGCATCTTCTCCCTTTCCATCAATGTGGTGAACCTCAGTGTAACAGCCAGCGTCAGTCAGTGTAGGAACAATGAGATGGTCAAGGTAAATTGGCAGCAGTTGCGCAAAACCTTCCCAGCCCGCAGTGGAGAGAGTGTAAACTGTCTCTGAGACATCCGTCCACGCATTGGTATCCGAGTATGAACGAGTAGCAATCTTGTCCAGCACGCCCTTGAAGGGATACTTTCGTGAGCCCATAAAGCAAAGATGTTCCAGGGTATGTGCTGTATCGAATCAGGATATGTGTGGAGAAGTTGATTTAATATACTCACGTGCGCCGGAATCATCATGGATCTCTGTGGCTACCGCGAAGTTTCCGTAAACCTTTGGACCTTTTCGATCGACCACGACTACGCGCAGCCCCGTGCGTTGCGATTCATACTGAGTGAATGTTGCATCAGCATAGTTTGCCTTGAATTGCTGTATCTTCTTGAAATGCGTCTCCTGTGCTACAGACCCCATGGTGGCGAAGTTGAAAGACTGGAGGGTCAATTCAGTAAAGTGGTCGGAGTAGGATTGCTTGGTGGATAGATCACTAGCACAAACCGCCTTGCCCAAATTGGCACTACTATTGTTGTGTTAGTCGACCGTGTGAACAGCTAATGCAATGCCCTAATCAATATAGGCTACTGGCACTCATATATGGTTGTGTAGGATAATCATAAATAGAGTGTTTAGTGTGCACAGAGAGTGTGTTCAAGATGCAGTAGAGCCCCGGGTTCGTGTCCATAGACTACTTTGTTGCCGATCTGCGCACGACACTGTGAAGGGAACTTACGGGTAGGTGAGATGGAATAAAGGCAAAAGGATGCCACACCAGCAGAGCCAGTGTGAAATAGTGCAGAAAAAGCGTGACAGCGAGGCTCTAATGTACCAGGATTGTTGTCAGCGGTCAAAGAGGCAGCCTGTCAGAAAAAGACCAAGAAGGCAGGGTATGGAGTCAGTTGCCTGCTGCGACAATGTTTAGGTGCACGTGTTGGCGGCTTATACGTACGAAGAATAGGCCACACAGTCTTAGTAGCGGTGGCGGGGTACGTGTGGCGGGGCAGCGACACCAGGGTTGACGTCGGCCGCATGTCCGTGCAGCTGCAAGTGTTCCATAGCATGACACGCCTCACGTCTCTTTCAATACCGAGCATGACAATCGCCTGCTAGCCGCAAATGCCTCCGCAAGTGTCAGACGAGCAGCTAGGCGATGCGCTCCTTCAATCGGCACAGTATGGAGCGTTCTCCCAGGACGAACATGTGGCATCTGCTACAGTGCCATCCACTGCGCTCCCAAAACTGCTAGAAGTAGTTACCAAGGCCCGCGAAGACACCAAAGTATGCTACAGCATGTTACTTCTTCTTTGATTCCGACATTGACTCTTTGCCCCAGAACCAAGTCCGTCAACTCTCACGAGAGGCTGCGCCTGACGTCGACGGTTGGATTACCCAGGCACGCAAGCTCCAGCACGATATCAAACGCTCCCAGGATACGGCCAAGGAAATTGTACAGCTAGCAGAAGCAGGCAAAGAGAACACAGCACGTGTGCAGGATGCCGCAAGCAAGGTCAGCCTGTTGCACACCGAGATTGAATACAACGAGAGCCTGGTACAGACGGTGGAGCAACTGCGAGACATATCTTCTTTGCTAGACTCGGCTCAGAATGCGGCGGTAAATGGTCACGTTCTACACGCCATCAGCACCCTGGAAGATGCAGACGGCGCCTTCAAGAGACTCGGTCCCTTCACGACGACAAGAGTAGTGGGCGTGCTCAGAAACAAGCAGGAGCAACTGAAGAAGGCCCTAGTAGAGACTGTTATAGACTCTTGGAACGGACTGATATCAGTTGACAGCACCAGCCATAAGATTTCACTGCACCAATCGATCGAACAAGAAGCCAAAGTTGACATCAATACAACCGTCGAAGCCCTCGTAAAACTTGGCCTCCTTGACAACCTAATCGTCCGCTTGAGTCGCGACCTCGATAAAACCATAATTTCTCCCCGTCTTGCCATGGGCGCCGACCGCGTCGTATCCGCATTCGAGGTTCACGGGGACGATATAAAACGCGCAGGTTCAGTTAATGATGGAAGCATCAAGGCCACAATAGGAGACATTCAGACCATTGCAGAGTATCTAAACACACGGCTACCACCTTCTATCGTTATCCCACTGTCACACAAGATCGTTCCAGTCATCGCGTCCCGGCTGATATCAAATCATCTTTTGCCTGCCATACCGCTTTCAACAGAGGGCATACCTCAATTTCAAGAGTCGCTCTCTTATGTCTTGGGACTTGTGGAATTTCTGGATGAGCTGGGATGGTCTGGTCAGAGCCGTCTGACAGAATGGGTCGACAAGTCCCCCGAACTCTGGCTGTCCAGGCAAAAAGAAGCCGCCATCGCCCAAGTCCAAGCCATGATTCCAAAGAAGGTACTAGAGAAAAAGACCGTGGAGAGGGTTGAGACACAGATCGTATCCAAGGGAGATGCCTTACACGCTGGCGATGACCAAGAAGACGATTGGGCAGCAGATTGGGATGGTGAGGGTGAGGATGAGGCGACTAAGGAGCAAACAGTGTCGGTAGAAGAAGAGGACATGAGTGCATGGGGTGAGGAAGTTGACATACCAGATGAGGTGCCCAAGGAAGAAGTGCCCAAGGAGAAACCCTCCGATGTTGAAGATGCCGAGGATTGGGGTGCGGATTGGGACGACGAAACCGACACTAAACCAACTGCCACGCCGAACCCCACAGTCAAAGCACCAGAATCACCGAATTCGAAAAAGAAACCAGCCCAGCAAAAGGCACCTGCGGACCAAAAGGTCACACTGCGAGAGACATACACCGTGACAGCAATTCCTGACGCAATCATGGATATCATTTTGCAGGTTCTCAGAGACGTAGACGCTCTCAATTCGGCCGATCTTGTCAAATCAGCCATTTCACCTGCAAGTGGAGGCCTATACGCAATACCAAGTCTACTACTTGCAATGTACCGAGCCACTGCTGCCATGCATTACTCGAAGGACATTGCGAGTAACATGCTCATCTACAACGATTGTCAGCGGCTATCAGATCGCCTGCGGCTCTTCTTACAAGAACAAGCCGAGAAGGACGCATCATCTACGTTACCGCAACATCTACAGCCCTTGAAACGCTTAAAACCATTGCTGGAGGCTGACATCAAGACCATTGATGGATTCGGCAAACGAGCTTATGGACGTGAGATGGAATCGCAACGACAAATCATAAGGGATCACTTGGAGGATGCCCAAGGCTTTCAGGATTGCACCAACGTTCCTTTCGCCACAGTATGTGACGATGCTATTGCCACAACCATCGACAGGATAGGAGACGTGAAGCGCCAATGGCAAAACGTCCTTTCCAAGAGCGCTTTGCTTCAGTCCCTTGGCTCATTAGTATCGGCGGCCCTTACAAAGTTTATTAATGATGTAGAGGACAAAGCAGATATTGCCGAAGACGAGTCTCGAAAACTACATGGGTACTGTGTTTCGCTTTCTACACTCGCACAGCACTTCCAGACAGAGGACGACAATGGAGAAGTCAGAGACATGGCTGGCGTCTATACACCTAATTGGTTCAAGTTCCAATATCTCAGCGAGATTCTGGACAGTAGCCTCGCAGACATCAAGTACTTTTGGACAGACGGAGAACTGAAGCTAGAAATGGAAGCTGAGGAGGTAATAGGCTTGATTGAGGCGTTGTTCGCACCAAGTGATCATCGGAGGCGAGCAATTGCTGAGATCAGGAGGACCAACGTGCAATGAAGAGAAGCCAGTAGCACCAAAACATCAAGTATTTACACACCGTCATATTAATATTGAAACCAATCTCTATGGAATGATATCATTACTCGGTACTCTGACCATTCATCCACAATCCACAAATTATTAATGAACAAGTCCAGTGAGCAACATCTCAGATTGCCGGAGGTTCGCGAACGCCGACTGGCTGATGTTTTTGCGCTAGCCTTCTTGGGAAAAAGTTCGAGATCCCAAAATTTCCAAAGCTCACAGAATCCGTCGTCACTTGCACACCACTTTTCGACAAGCAAACGACCACATAACGACGCCATGGATACCGAAGCCGCAGAGACCAAGGTGCAGATTCGCCTCACTACGCGCGATTCTAGCCTGCAAATTTCAGAGGAGCCTAGTACTTTGCTTGTACAAACATGTAAGTACCATCGCGGGACATGATGATAAACTGCGCACTCTTGTGCCGTAGCATGTCGCAATTTCTTACCATTAGAGTATGGTCGCAACACACTGCGCAAGCCTCAATTGCCCAATTTCATACACTGTACTAACAGCATGCGCCTGTAGCCTTAACGCGCCACAAGCTTTCGACTCTTGTAAACGAGCTCCTACATCGCGGGGATGACAACCGCATTCCGTTCGACATACTTATAAATGGCGAATTCCTCCGCACAACCATCGACCAGTTTCTCACCAAGAACGGTATCAATGCCGAAGTGACACTCGATGTAGAATACACTAGGGCACTGGTGCCACCACTAAACGTGACGAGTTTCGAACATGACGATTGGGTTTCTGCAGTGGATGTCCTATCTGGAGTACATAGTGGACAAGAGAGGATATTGAGCGCAAGTTACGACGGGCTTCTGAGAGTATGGAACACATCAGGTGACGTTTTGGCGACGTCCGAGGCGCCCAACAACGGAGGTCGGATTACCAGCTTGAAGACGGCAAAGTGGTTGTCTGAAAAGAAGATGGTGGCCGCTGGCTTGGACAACACTGTTCGTGTGTACAAATACGACGATGATGCGCGAACCATCACGACCGCATTGGAACTCTTCAACCACCGCTGGGGCGTAGAAGACGTTGCAGTCCACGCACCTTCAAACCGGATCCTGTCCGCATCTTCAGACACGACAGTTTCGCTTTTCTCGAGCAACGCAAAGGAAAACCCAGTCGCACCATCGAATCTGCTTCCGAACTCAACAGTCGCTTCCAACAAGCGACAAAAACTCTCGAAGCCAGATCGTACGGTTCCTGCCCGCGGCGCATTGGCAACATTCACCGGCCACAGTTCGCCTGTCTCGAGCGTAATCTTCAAGCCAGACGACGCCACAGTCGCATACTCTGCTTCACACGACCACACGCTCAAGACATGGGATTTGCCTACCACTACATGTGTTGACACTCGAACAACGGGCCATTCGCTCCTCTCCTTGTGCGCCATTCCTTCCCGAAACCTCCTGGCAACCGGTACCTCGGCACGCCACATCACTCTCGTCGACCCCCGCGCATCGGCTACCCAGATCAGCGTCATGACGCTACGAGGTCACAAGAACGCCGTTGTATCCCTCGACACGGATCCGTCGTCCGAACACAACCTTGTGTCTGCGTCTCACGATGGTACGGTCCAGATATGGGATCTTAGGAACGTTAGTGCGGGTGGCCAGATCGGAGAGGGTTTGACGGGCGAAAGCGTATATACCATTTACAGGCAATCGCGGGATGGTGAGAATATCAAGAGCCATGGCGAGGGCGCAAAGGTCTTCGGCGTGTGCTGGGACCGCCACGTGGGTATTGTATCCGGTGGTGAGGACAAGCGGGTACAGATTAACCGTGCAATTGGATCTTGAAGGAGGGAGAGACTGGGTGTGACTCTCCCTCTGCAATTGCAATTGCAAAAGAAAAAGAAAAGAAATGGTGACAGCAACCGGTGTTTTGGGCGCATGTTTTAGATACCAATTTTTTGGCTAAAGGAGAGAAAAAGTTATAGCTTTAAAGCTGGGCCCGAATGGTCGCGAGTCTCTTCAGCTCTCTCTCTCTCTCTCTTTTGTAATGCGACGCCTTCGTCTACTACGTGTTTGTGCTTTAAATGAAAGGGGTATCAAAGTCGCAATTGTTCCCGTTCCCCTCGAACCACTTCTTCCCTCTCCCCCTTCCACATTTGCTATGGAAAGTCGCAAAACTCTACATCTTTTTCCTTTACTGTGGGCGCATGGAAAAAGTACTTGGTAGCCCCCATGTTTTCCAAAGTTCCTTCCCCTCCCACCCTTCTCGTAGCACCGTATAATTGCCTCTGCCCTATACATTTTTTTTCGCTCGTCTCCCTAGAATCTGTCTTTTTTTTTCCTTCCCTTTCTTTCATGTTTCTTCTTCTTTTATTTATCTCTTTTTCATACCAAATGCCCTGGCAACAAGAAATTCGCAACACCTTCTTTCACCGCGTACTCGTGTTGGCACGCTCCACAGACCAGCTTCCCTTCTTTTATACATGTCTCGAGCAGTATTCTGTGTAGATCCTTTGCTGTCTGGCTCGGTTCTTCTTCCTGCTCCTCTTGTGCATCGGCGGCTGGTGTCGCATCGGTGGTGTCTAGTGCGGATGCGGAAGACGACGAAGGTTCGACGAGGTCGGCGGGTGTGGGTGCTGTAGGTGGGAGTTCAGGGAGACCAAGCTATAAATATTGGAAGACAAGTATTAGCATGTTATTCAAACTACAAGTTTTGTTTTTCTCTCTCTCTTTTTTTTGGGGGGGTGGGGGATCCTTCGATGTATGTTATGTTGGGAAAGATTGCCGTCTTACTTACCTCACTGCATATAACCCTCAATTCATTCCATAGAATGCGGGGGAGAATGTTTTTCAGAAACGCTAGGTTTACGTCTGCTTCGACGATTTCGAGCTCGGCGTCGCGTGGGTGCAGGGGGAAAGATGCGGGGTTCGTTTTGCAGGCTTTGATGGCGCAGGTGAGGAAGTTGAGGGTTAGGAGCTTCATGTTTTGCGTTGTGCGTATACGTTCGCTTGTTGGAGTGAGGAGAGCCGGAGTTTGCGATAAGTTTTTCTTGGGAGAGTGTATACCGGTAGAGCGTGTAGTATAGTATAGGTGGTAGTTATGGGTTGAGAGGAGTCCTTGTTGAATGCGCGCAGTTTGCGGGCGAGGATTGCGACAGAATAATTTTTGGCGCGTCGGGGAACGGGCGGGCGGTCGTTGGTGGGGTAAGGGACGCTAGTACGAGGCCTAGGTTTATGCATATTGTTCTCAATCTCAACCTTACTTGCATTCTTTCTCTTGCTCATTTTTTTTGCTAAGCATCACAGCCTTTTTAGTACTATTCTCCGAGGATACAGTTGGCAGTGGTACGGCATTCTCTCAGAAAAAAACGATTTCCAACTTGTGCACGATGCTGGCAATATCAATTTGGATAAACTTCACTTTGAATTGACTGGGACAGGGGAATTATAGAGCATATCGTTAATTTCTACCATGAGAGTATGCAAATACAATATGGCATGGATCATTTCTATCGTATATCAACCACTCAAGACCTAGCGCTTGGCAGCGTCCTCCAAGACCAGATCCGTTGCCCTCGAACTCAGCAGGAACGTAGAGACTGCTGGGAATGCGCCGGGACATCTTGGGAAAGCACTTGCATCGACAACACGCAGGCCTTCTACGCCCTTGACTCTCAAGCGGGAGTCTAGCACAGCCAATGGGTCAGAGTCTGGGCCCACCTTGTTGGTGCTCGTTGGGTGGTGGCCGAATACTTGGTCCTCTATCCACTGCTTGTCAATCTCCTGATCCTTACAGTACCCAGTCTCAAGTATATCAGATGGAGGGCAAGGGGGGGACACGGGAGTGACAGGACCAACTGGTCCCTCAGTTGTCATGTAAGCCTTGCGTACGAATGCCAGTGTATCCAGAATGGCGCCCATGTCTGTCTCTGCGCCGGTAGCGAAGTAGTTCAGGTTGACCTCTGGGGGCTCTGTGGGATCAGCAGACTGGATCTGAATGTATCCTGCGGTGTTTTGTGGGTGTATCTTAACCGTAGACCAAGAAAAGGTTGTCGGAGGCACACCCGTCTGATTCTGGTTTGTATCAGGTGCGAAACCACCGAAGACGCTGCCAGGGAAGCCAAACATGAACATGTCGCGCTCACCCTCGACGGCGTGCGGCGTCTTGAGCAGGAAGGCGTTGGAGTTGACGCCACCGCGCGCATATGGTCCCTCGCCCTTGTACCAAAGGTCAACACATGGATCTCCAGGTGCGCCAAATGTGCAGCTTGGTGCATTAGGGTCAGGAGGGGCCGTGAGGGTAATTGGCGACTCGCCATACATTGGTATCTCGTAATTATCCTGGAGGTTGCGGCCTACGCCGGGCAGATCAGAGACCACTGGGATACCGTACTTCTCGAGAAGGGCTTTAGGACCGATACCAGAGAGTTGAAGGATTTGGGGCGAGTTGAATGCACCACCTGAGACAATGACTTCTTTGCGAGCAAAAGCTTTCTTGAGGACACCTTCTGTAGTGTTGGCAGTTCGTCGTGGATCCGCTTTGTATACGGATTTGCCTTGGAGGTACTCGACACCCACCGCCTGTGGCTTTGTGCCATTGCCACCGCAGGTATCGAACAACACCTTGGTGACCAAGGATTCGAGCTGCAGATTAAGCGGATACTTTTGCGTGCCGTTCGCAGTTGTCTCATTTCGCATCTGGAGAATGATATCACGCGGGCTGAAGCGCCTCCATGTCGGTCCGACATGGAAAGGCAAAGCCCACAATCCCTCAGTTTGATCGCGGGCTGGGTCAAGATAATTGCCATCGCTGGTGATGTAGTCCAGTACCTTTTCTGGTTCTCTGCCAATGAGCTTTAAAGCTGCTTCGTAAATTTTGAGACGAAGCGGAGCCATTTGCTGAGCTGCACGGTCGGCAATGTTTGTCTGAAGCCAGCCCGTGAATCCGTGGCCTGGGGTGCCAGGTTCAAGGTAGTTGTTATGCTCGATCTTCTCAAAGTACTTGCGCATCAGGCCACCACTAACACAGTTAGTACACATACACAATGCTTGCAATTGGAAGGAAACTGACCTCCAGAGGTCTTCTTCGGTTCCTTGGTCAAAGATATCCCAGTCACTCTCACTTGGCAAGAAGGTTGCTGCCGCGTTTACAATAGCACTTCCACCAAGCGTCGCACCGCGAGGATAGAAGATACCAAGTCTCTCAGCACCGACATGGCCCTCAACGGTTGGGTCTCGTCCAACCCAGTCTTTTTTGATATCAGCACATTTTCACCCAAAGCATCTCTCAAAGGCAAAAACCACTCACATTCTCCATTTGCCAGTCTCCAAACCAGCAGATTGTACCGCTTCAGCCTCTCCTCGTCATCACCATGTTTGACAAAGAAATGCCACGTGACATCTGTGTTGCCAAAGCTGTTCAGCGCAAGAATCTGAGTCCGAATATCAAGCGAAGCATCCGAACCCGCTTCGATCAAGAGCACAGAGTGTCCCGCGCGCGCAAGGTTCGTAGCAATCGTTCCGCCTCCTGGCCCAGAACCCGTGACAATGTAATCATACGTATTCGACGAGTCTGCTGCTTCCGTCTGCGGAGACGCACAAGCCGGACCCGAAGAAGGATACGCGAGCACGAGCGGAGGCAAGAGCAAGTAAGGGGCCGCACGAAACCTCATGATTGGAGCAAAAGATTGAGTAACAAAAGAAAGCTCCAAGCAAAATAAAGACGACAGGAAAGGGCTTTCAAGAAGGGCCTGCTCTGGGGCTTCGACTTAGCCACCTTTGTAGTGTAGGCCCGACTTCATATACGGATACAATCAACCACACCGTCCCTCTTGCCACCTCCCTGCTTTACCCCAATTGAATACGAGAAGAGAACAGTGCCCTGCGTCCATACAAAGGTAACAACAGCCGACTTAACGGCCTTGCATATATGTACGTTTTTACCCGGGGGGTTAAGGCGAACCTCTCCACATCCTTTTCTTGCACAACCCGTACCTAGTTTCTTGGCGCCATTACACAACACCTGTCTCACCTGAGCATGCTATTGGCTGGGTTAACCGTAGAGGAGGGGGGAGGGAGCGGTAAAGAAACCAAGATCCGCAGGTACTACGTACGTGCATTCGCAATTTTATTATCGATTACTCGGCGCATACAAGCATCCCAGCAAGGCGGGCACCTTTTTTTGCCCAACATTGCGGAGGATCTGACTAGTAAATAGAGGACATGGGGGGAGTTGAACATGTTGGGGATTGGGCGGGCCAATGGGCAGGGGTGGTGGGTGGTAGAAATAGGCAGGTATCTTGTTTCGGGTTGATTGAGAACGTGGGGACCGAGAGGGTACGTGTGTAGGTTGATGGGGTCGGTTCGTGAACCTGGGGTTTATCGGGTAAGTGGTATGGCTGCAAAAGGAACAAGAACCAGGTGCTTAGTGTTGCTTTGTAAGTAGGTGGAGTTTGTAAAGTCATTAGTAGGTGCATACATGCAGCGCCTTGTTCAGCTCTTGGTATTGACGGGGGAGGATTTGTTAGTCAACCGAGCCGAGTACGATAATTACGCATCTTGGAAATGAGTCTTCATGCAGACAAGAGGTCGTGAAGAGCTCCTCAAGAGCATGATTCAGAGCGATCCTGGTTGATATAGCGAGTTATTAATCAGATGTTTTCGGGTCATGTCTTTTTCTTAACTTGTCACATCGTCTGTGCTTCCTCGGATATGTGATGCAAGCAAACATACTCGTCGACCACAGTACGGTCGGATAAATCATCATTTCTCATAAGCAACTACGCCTACTGGAAGCTTTTCAGCAGCTCCTGTAGCTGTGCGTAGGTATCGTCTGGGTTCTTGACCTTGTGTCCGATGGTCCGCTTATCGCTGTAGATCTCCCAGTCGTTTCCACCCTCGTATGCCTTGTCACCGAAGAAGTGAATCTTGTCGTAGACAATTCCCGAGATGTCCTTCTCCGCCTCAATGTGTCGCAGGCAGTATGTCTTGTCCCAGCCAGTAGGGAAAACGTCAAACGAGATTTGGCCGCCGATAGAGTAGGTAAGGCCGTAGTCAGGGAAAGCTTCCTTGAGCTTTGCAACCATGGTCTCCCTGATCTTGTGCTCGAGGTCGTACTTTTGGTACTCGTTTCGCTCTTCAGTCGAGGCGTTACGGCCGATGGGGGAAACGTTAATCATGCCGTTGCGGAATTCGATAAAGGTACCACGCTTGATGGGGATATCGAGATCGGCGATGTAGTGAAGAATCCTGTGGGTTGGGGTCAGCGATGCTTTGCAAAATCACGGGCTTCGACATACCACTTGGTCAGCGCCTTATACTTGTCCTCACCAATCCAGGCAATGAAGCTCTGGCTGGCCAGAGTCTCACCCATTCGGATGGCGGTCAGTCCGTTCTCAGCAAAGCAAAAGTCGAACAGCGATGTGACATCGACTGCTCCTCCAAGTTGCTCCTGCTGCTTGGCCAGGTTGGAGCCACCAACGAAGCCAATGGCAACTTTGTGTCGGAGTTCCGAGAGCAATTCAAGCATCTCAGGGCTCACCAGCTGCAACCATGTTAGCTATTTGTAGAGGAGATGTCATTCGAGGGTGAGCGCACTTGACGGGGCTTTGTGAGCGTGTCGTCAACATCGAAGAGTAGGACTGTGTTCTTGACCGGGCGCTGGTCAAGCGGGGGGTATACAGCGGCTGCAGTTGCCATGATTGCTATGTAGAGGCAGTATTCTGTGCAGTGAGATGGGTCAAGACCAGGTCTTTTGATCAAAGTGACCAACAAGAGGCGAAAAAAAGTCGGTATTATGCTGAGGAGTGCAGCGAGGATTGCGATACAATTTGGAGGGGTTTCTTGCAGGGATGGGCGATCCTCACCGCAGTTTCGCGGCCAGCATGCGGGGGTGTGGGACTGGTACTCGACTGACATTGGCCAGGCGCCTGGACCCTGAGCTTACGGCTGCGGTACCTGAATCGAGGCCAAAGTTACGATGCCTCGAAACGTGTCAATTATGCCTTTGCGCTTACTGTACAGCATGTCACTTGGGCGTACAGCTGGCAAGCCGCCAACACACAATACCGAAAGAGGAGTGCATGGTCAACAGTTATTTTGGCAATCGTCGCAACATCTAGACGGACTATGTGTATGTAGATGCACAGTACAATAGAAACCAGGCCCACCTAACCCAATGCCCCGACCTTCTTCGCCAACTCCTTCCACCGCCCCTTCCTCATACCTGAAGGCATCTCCAGTATCAACTTCTTAAGCAGGTCCTGTTTGTAATCAAGTTTCTCCAGCGTTACTGCCTGCAGGATGTAGTTGCTGACGGTGCCGTGCGAGAGTGGCGGATTCCGCAACAATGGCGCAATCTCATCCACTGACATTTTCTGGTGATGCCATAGATGATAGGCACGGAGGTGGGAAACTGTCGCATGGATGCGAGGGGGCGCTGGCGATTCGGGCAGCGGAATAGTTGACTGGGCAAAATTCTGCGCCCACACAGTCGCTAAGCCATATGATGAACCAGCCTGCTCAGGAGTGACAACCTCCACGTCCTCTCTCAAGTTGCCGGCATCGTCGAGCGTCATGTGTCCAAGCGCTTCTTCGAGTTCTGCATCCGCATATTCATCATCGGCGTCAGCTGAAACTTCGCTAGACTGAGATGCTTCAGTGTCCTCCTGCGATAGTTGTGGTAATACCGGGTAGCCCACATCAGCCGTATTCAACGACGAGATATTGACCCGTCCTACACGCCTGAACGAAGAAGAAGTCTCATTCTCAGACTCCAGATTACTATCTTCATCTAGTTTTGTGTTCTCTGCCTGGCTGGTTGCAAGTTTTTTGTCTTTTTTGAGTGGACGAACAGCTGAAGTTGTTGTAGGTGTAGGATCTTCGAGTTCATGACTATCCATAAGTTCTTCTGGCGCCGTTTCATAGCCTTGGGTGTTTTCATCGCTATCTTGTTCCTCTTCCGCAAGATCGATTGATAGGTTCGAGTCGCTGTCACTAGCTTCCTTGACCTTGGCAGTTGATCCAGCTTTCTTACGTGGCTTTTTAGCACGGGGGGCAGGCTTATTGTCGTAGTCGCAAAGCATTACCGGCGGAGGTGTTGGTGTCAACCGAGTCCGTTTCCGCTCCAATATGTGGTAAAGCCGGAATCCAGCGTACGCGTCAGCAGCTGCGTAGTGTATTTGTTGCAGATTCAGTGGGAGGCTCCAGTCGCTTTCCCGGACACTGGACGTCGTGTCTTCATCGTCTTCTAGTTGCTCGCCTTTGTACAATGGCAACTGCAGGTGTTGAAGCACCTGGGTAGCAAGACTGACTAGTCTATTTGAGACTTTGCTAGGATCAACCTTATACCATTCAACGAGGTTGTGTAAGCGACTCAGCTCAAAGACGCCCTGAGGCTGAACTCCAAGGTACTTTTCCACACGTTTGAAATCGCCCTTGATAGCCACTCCTACTTTAATGACATCTGGTGACTCCAAGACGGCTTTCAGACTAGGCGGCATGAGCTGTTCGACCTTGTACCCAGAAAACAGCGAAATATGAAACAACGCGATCCTATTCTCGCATGCAAGTTGGATTAATGAGGCGTTTTGTTTGATCGCATGCGGATTTCCATAAGGTTTCCACTCGATGTCGAAGCCTACAACCTTCTCTTTCAAAAAGTACTGAGCAACTCTCTCAGCAACATCAAAAGATTTACAATAATGAATTGAAAGCGACTCGCCGTCGGGGCTTTGGTACAGCTTTGCACTCCAGTAACTTGCACGTGTTTTGGGCGAAGCGAGCATTGCGGCACGTAACGTGTCTTCTGGGATCTGGTAGGCAAGGTCCTCATCGGCATCGAACTCCTCTTCTTCGCTGACATCGGGCTCGGACTCGGCTTGCGAAGAAACTTCGTATGTGTCTGTGGAATCTAGTTCTTCTGTGGACTCAACGCGATATGACGAATCGCTTCCCGCTGGACTGGCACCATCTTCTGTACTGGAATGTGTATCTTGCTCCAAGCCACTACCACTATGTGTTGAATCATCTTGAGTACGGGGCGACTCTGGTGACCTGGCTTCGGGTTGGGGTAAAGGTTCCGTGCTTGGAGGAACGGGAGCGGACTGCCGTGTCTCTGCTTGTGATGTGGTCGCAAAGCGTAACCCGTATGAAGGGTCCCATAACCCTACTCGCTAGAAAGAGGTCAATGGTTTGTATGAGTCTGCTGCGGGGGAAGGTCTCACAGATGGCGTAGAGAATGCTTGTAGCGGAGAGGGCTTGTTTTCAGTTGTGGTCGCTGCATTGCTCGTAGTAGGTTGTTTGAGAGGAGGAGAAGGATGCGTGGTTGGGCCAGAGTTGTGGTGCATATCTCGAATGCGCGTGCTGCTTGCGGTGAATGGTCGTCCCCGCTTCCATTGGCAAGTGGTGGGAGAAGAAGGCGCGGGCGCTGGGCGTGGTGGGGTGGCGTGCATGGCTCCTGCCATGTGCAATAGTCTTGGGAGTCGCGAACCGCTGTCTCTTTTCTCTTTTAGTACTGTGCTACATGGCAAATAAAGTCTTGTCCGCACCTCTGTATGTGATGACGGTCTACTGCTCGTGGAATGTTCGGTGTGACTTCATCGCAAACAGACCGAGAGATGTGTGACGCGCTCAGCAGAGAGGCGCGTCGTCTGAAGAGCATGGCACTCCATGGTAGTGCTCTAGCTAGGCACCAATGTTGTGTGTATGTGTTCGATAGGCTGATTCGGCAGCAGTGGCTGAGAAAACATGTCTGTTGCCTTGCTAGAGCGACAGGACCCTGTTCGCGAATGTTGGTTGGCTAGCGCGCCGCCTGTCTTGAAGATGGCCCTCTCTGCCAAGATATCCCACCCAGTCACCACCACAACACACAACCAACCTACACCGGACTACGCCATCATGTCGCTCGAGAATCTATTGCCGCTGGGTGAGGATATTTCACAAGAACTACATGTCGGGCGCTGACTGCTGCAGAACTCATCGACAAGTGCGTTGGTTCGCAGATCTGGGTCATTATGAATGGCGGAAAAGGTGTGCTTGGATGCCAGAGATGAGAGTGAAGAGACTGACAAGAAGCAGAATTCACGGGCAAACTGGTTGGATTCGACGACTACGTCAGTGAGTAGGCGGCCGATGACTTGTTTGCGCATTTCTAACATGGCATAGACATGGTGCTGGAGAACGTGACAGAGATGTGCGTGGCTTGGTCGAGGTGTCTAGACATGATGGTCGTGTGCTAATTTGGACTGCCAGTGACCCGGCTGAGGGAAATGTGCAGCTACCCAAGATCCTGCTCAACGGCAACAACATCTGCATGGTACGAAACAAGCGTGACCAGGATGTCCCATGCTAACTGTGATAGATGGTTCCCGGAGGAGATGGCCAAACGGTGCTAGAGGAGGAGTAGGGCCACAGGCAATAGCAGCATGGACAAGCGCCGCAAAATGCGATGATGGCCGGGTTTGGGGCTCACATGATGGTAAACGGCTTCATCGCGGTGTCTTCGATCAGTGTGTTGTACTCGCCATGGCGCCTGCCGTTGACGGCTAACCAGGCCGGTTGGTGCGACTGGTCCGGAGCCATGTGCCGCCAGCATCTCAGGTAACCCATGGGAGGCTGCGCAGAGAGTAGTGCATTTTGGCCGTTTCGGTTCACGTGGCTCTTGGGTTTGGTAGCGTGCATAGATGTATGTATGGATGTATGGGATACATGTGTATGCGTGTATGGTTCATGAATCAGCAATTATCTTTGTGTGGGACACGTGACTGTTGAAAAAGGTGAGACGAGTGAAACAGCAACGCGTCGTCGTCGTTGTTGAGTCTGCAAGGCACCGGCAGCGGCGGCGACAAGTACCGCACCGCTCAACGGCGGGCGGAGGCAAGGGCGAGTGGCTGCGATTGTGATTGCGATGTCGAGGGTGGAGTAGATCCAAGGCGAGGCCGATGACATCGGTCAGGGTCCAACATGACACCACACGCTCACTCTGGCCCGGTTTCTGCTCCGTGATGCACAACTCAAGGGCACATGCACCCTGTCCACCCACTCGATACAAGCATTGTGCAAGGACTGCAGCTTGTCAAGGCCTCCCACTTGGGCGCATGTACTAGGCGACGTTTGAGCGCCAGCTTAGGACGGATCCAGCCAAGTGAGAGAAGCGTTCCGCTCCGCCTTGGGCGTGAGGGTGGCATTGCCGGCGAGCAGTGTCCAATGGTACGGCTGGCCGGCGACGGTGGATAGTCGCTGGGCGGAGCAGGATGCCGAGAGCTCCTCTCCGCCCCTGGCCTGGCGCGTTGATCGTCACGACAACTAGCTGCAACGGTCCAGGCAGCGCCATCGCCTACATATCGAGTCGCATCATGGCCAGAAAGACAGTGGCCTGAGGAAAGTCGAGATAGATATGTCTACCGTCTGCCATCGCCGATGCAGCCCGGCCTAGGCTCGCTGCATCTGCTCGTGTCTGCCCACCCACCCCTTCCCCCCGCGACCAGCGTCCCCATCCAGCGCCCAGGGCTGCGTCGCATCGCAGATCTACTTAATCCTGTGGTGCCTGTGGTGGCTTAGCTGGGGGGGAACGGGCAGGCAGGCCATGTTGTCGCAAGATGAGCTCGCCAGAGCCATGCCATCGCCAGTGCTGCTTGCCGACGGCTGGCAAATCAGCGGCGACGGCGGCGGCGGCCGGGGGTGCAGGCGACTGCGGCTGGTGGGTGGTGCCGATGCATAAGTAAGTACACAGTCTACTAGGTCCAAAGATGAGAGGCGCCCCAGGCTGGCCATACACAGACATGTACCAGCCCGACGTCACTCGCACCCCCCAGGCAGTGCAGCGTGGATAGAGTTATTAGTTGAAGCAGCGACTGCATGCTTCCTGGGTGCAGTCAGCAGCCTCGTGGGCGGCCAGGGAGGGCGTGCAGAGTGGATGACGGGGTCGCCTAGGGAGGGGGGCCAGCGTTGATGGATGCGATGATGCCGGGCTCCCGCAAACCGGGCCTATTCCAATGTATCGGCGCTTCGTTGATGGACAATGGTTCTGGCCTGCCATGTTTTGTACCCTTTGCACCGTCAGCTATACGCGCTGCAGCCTCCCATCCCACGTCATAGGCGCTCCAGATATCCCGCAACCAGCGAGCTTTCCGACTGCCAGCCTGGCGCGTGCGCCGCCCTTGCCCACGGCTGCCCTCGCTGCCCTGGCGTGCCCTCGCTGCCCTGGCGTGCCCTCGCTGCTCGCAGAAACGGACAGAGGGCGACAGAACGCGCTCGCTGCCTCTTGCACTGCATCCCCTGTCCGGGCCTGTTGTCGAGCCCGCCGATCGCTTGCTCTGATCTCGACCGTCTGACGACCCTATCGCTGCCCGGGCTGCACACTTCTTCCCGCTCCATTTTCCTGCCCTCCTACCTCTCCCATGTCGTCTGCTGCTGCTGCTGCTGCTGCTAATATTGCTGCCGCTGCCACTACTACACTACTACTACTACCACCACCAACAACCCCATCATCGTCATCACTAATACCTCCTCCTCCATCTCGCCCACACCATCGTCTCCCGTCTCCACTCTCGCTCTCTTCATCATCATCACCATCCTTCTCCTACACTACCACCACCACTACCACCACCAACCACGCCAGCACCCAGCCACAGTCACCCGCCGCACCTGTAACCCTCTTGACTTCACCCCCCGTCCCATCACAATTGCCCTCCATGATTGCGCCCGGCCTGGTCTGCTAGCCTTGTCCCACTCAATTGGGCCTTGGACCGCTCTCACCCGGAGCTGCCCACGCTCACCGCAACCCGGGTCCTCTGCGTCTCTGATTCGCGTCGCATCCAAGCAAGGCTCTGGACACGCCAAATGAGCCCCGGCCGTTTACTGACTCTCGTCGGCCGCTGTTCTGGCCGTGCCTATACTAGGCTGCGTCCGCTCCCCTCCTTGACGGTAGCCGAGACTCGACCTGCCGCCATCACAACATAATTACAGAATTCGACTGCATCGGTCCGGGACCCACCTACCCCAAACTAACGTCGCGCTCCACCGCTCAGGCATGCGCCATAGTCGTTGACTGCTGCTTCCTTCACTACTTGCTCTTCTCTGCGCCTCTGCGCCCTGCAACACTTTGACCCTAACCTCGATTTTCCTTGCCAGTCGATCCGCCGCATTCGCCTTGCCGCCGCACCAATCACGCTGGCTCAAGCAACACTCGGGCATTTCCTTTTTCATCCTTGTACACTAGTCTCGCCATACTCGACCTCTATCGATCACGCTCGATCCTCAATACCATTGCCACTAGTCGCCTAATCCTGCAGGCCTATCCAACCTTTTTGACCACCACGTCTCTCCACTGTCGGTCGCTACACTACATTTACTTACGCGTTCGCACCCACGCCTTCCTACATGAGCGACTTGAAAGACCGTCTGGCGCGATTGGGTCTGTCCCAGTACCACCAAGTGTTCGTGGCCGAAGGCTTTGACTCCTGGGAGACAGTGCTCGACATTACCGAATCCGACCTGTGCGTTTACCCTTTTGCCTGCTTACTCCCTCGACGGACCCTTGCTTACAACGGCGCAGGAGCTCCCTCAACGTAAAACTTGGTCATCGACGGGTAAGTACATACATCATGCGCATTGCTCTCTCATGTGTAGTATCATTGATTTTTGTTTACAGAAACTACAACGGGCCATTGCCGAATCGCGCGGACAGTCATCTGAGAAGCCACTTCCTATTAATCTTCCCCGAGCGGGAAGCACCGCAGGCTCGTATCGAAGTGACGATTCAGGGCCTGAAAGCAAAAGCAAGCAACCGGAGTCAAGCAACCCTTCATCTGGTGTAACAGGTGCCAAGCGGAAATACCGACGACATCCAAAGGTTTGTTTGAAACTTTTCCAATGCAAACCAGCTATACACTTTTCTAACTTGATACAGCCCGATGAGCATGCTCCGGAACGCCCACCGTCTGCCTATGTCATTTTCTCGAATCGTGAGTATCACCCTAACACACTGCGACTATGGCTAACCCAATTACAGAGGTGAGGGAGTCCCTAAGGGGACAAGATCTATCCTTCACCGAGATTGCCAAGGTGGTTGGCGAGAAATGGCAAGTCTTACCCGCAGAAGAGCGCGAAGGCTGTGAACGACAAGCCAATGGCGCCAAGGAAAAGTACTACGCGGAATTGGCCGAATACAAGAAAACACCGCAATATGAAGCCTACCAGAAGTATCTGGAAGATTTCAAAGCAAAGCACTCAGTTCCCACAAAAGGTATAGCACTCGCGCTACATTCAAGACTATGGAGTATTAACATATGCAGAAGGCAAGCGTTCAAAACTGGATACAGAGACAAGCACTTCAACCCGGGCGGGTAGCAATGAACAAAATGAACAAGCAGTAAACAGAAGATCAAGTTTCACACAGCCAGATAGCAATACGCTCGCGCAACAAAAGTCGGATTCCAGCCAACCACCTGGCCCTTCACGTCTTCCTGCAGGTCCTCCATATACCTCCAAACCCACATCGCCGACCAATCGCTCACTCTCTGGTTTTAATTCTCCCCGGTCAGGAGAACAGTTCTCGCCAATTTCCGCCTCTCCACGTTCCGCAGTCATAGCAAGAGACGGCATCTTTGAGCCAGCTGCAACCAGTTCCGTACGGGATACTAGGGTTCCGTTCGACTCAAATTCATATCAACAGTCTGCATTCAATCAGGACAATAACCACCAATCTTCATCAACGCCACCACCACCCTCGTATACATATCCATCTCATTATCAAGCGCCAGCCGATTTTCCCTCTCGCCGGGCACCGCGGGACACCACTCGTCTTCCACGCCTCAGTCACGAGGACACGACTTTGTCCTCGGAAAGTAGCCACAGTGGCCAAGGAGTGCTCACACCAAGCTATCCTGAACAGGCCCTACCTGCCGATCCTAGCAAGACAATGCGTATGCTTCCCCAGCCAATCCCAAGCATAGGACCTTCACCTTCGCCACTAGACCGACCCATGGCACATATGGCGGCGCCACATTACCCTCACCACTCGCATGACTACCGCACACAGGGTCCACTAGCGGTCCTAGTAAGAGCAGGAGAGTTGGCGGCAAGGGTAGCGGATGAGGATGCGGCGGTCAACGCGGCATCGCCTTGATTGTTAGTTTGACGACCACGCCACGGTACACACGACACACATTATGGGCTATTTAGTGCCTCAACCAGTAGGCACTGCATGGCCTGCTAGACTAAGATTTGCAACGGCTCGCGTAGTCGGTCAAGTTGGGAATTATTAGGCTCGTGGCACACGGACCAAGCAACCATTAGCGGAGACGCTTTACGTTTTCATACTTATGTTATTTGATATTACAAGAAGATACCCCTGACGCAATAAGCTGGCTTTCTGGACACTCAGTAAGCATACGGGGAAAAGGA